TTCCTCTCAGTGTTATTGCTCAGCTTTCCTCATGAGCCATAGTGACCCTCTTCCAAATAAAGAGCATAAATCATTGCTTGCTTTCCCCTTTGACTCCTGGATGTGCTGAGAACTATGTAATAAATCACACTGCTCACTTTTAGAGAAAAACCAGCTGCAGCTCTGCCAGCCTCTTGGATCTGTACATCACCAGTGATGGGAGAGCTCCATGGAACTGTTGGTGATTGTTCTCACCACACAGGAACATGTGTTGATAAGCAGTGAGACCAGAGGCAGGTCACTGGTTTATTTGCAGTCTGACTTCTGGGCTCCAGCCATGGCAAGCCGGCACCTTTCTGTTCTGGGCTGAGCACCCTGGCACAGGGAGCCCATGGAATTCCATGCAGCCCATGGGCACTGAGCACATCTCCAAGTGAACAGTCAGACCTCGGGCTGCCTGCAGCTCCGTGGCTACAGGCAGAAGTTGTTTGCGTGGTCACACAGCGCAGCATTCGCTGCTGCCACTGCTGTCTGCCCTATTTCCTGCTCTGCGATAAGTGGGATTTAGGACTGTGGAGCTGACGGGAATGCACGGCTCCCGGGGCAGCCCAGCTCAGCCCCATCCCTCCCAGCTGCTGTCGGATGAGCTCAGGCTCTGAGCAGATAGGGATGTGCCTTCCCCTAATTGCCCAGGGCTTGTCTACACAGGCTTTTTAAGAAAGTTAACATGAAGCAACAATCTAAAGTGGATTAAAGAGCATTAAAACTCTGCATAAAACTCTCATTGAGAATTAAAGTGGCCTTAATTTAGTTTAATTTAGTCCCAAAGACTGCTAAATAAGGCCACCTCAATTGTCCTTAATTAACATAAGTGTTCCCATATAGGCATTTGTAAATGAGGTTTAATTAGCCCATTTTAAGAAGACAGATCTGAGGGAGCTGCCTTTGGTTTCTGTAGGCAGGCAAGCCAGGTCGGCGGCCACTTTGCTGACGAGGCTCCCAATTGAGGCCAAGGAGCAGTAGCTTTGCAGTGCTGGCATCCCTTCACCAGGAACTGGCCCCAGGCTAGCTTCCTCCCAAGCAGCAGATTGTAAGATCCTCACATCCCACCTATTTTGACTGCATTAAGTATACGAGTGGGAGATGAAAGGCTTTGCCAGAGAATGGGCTCTTTAAAATCTGAGATACAGGAGTGGTAATCCCTAGAAAAATCCCTAGAAAAGTGTGATGTCAGGACTTTATGGGACTTGTTTGCGAGCAAGAAACCAGACAGGAGAAGAGCAGTTCTTTGCATTGAGCCAGGAAGGAACTGGAAGGAGATGGAGCAGGAGCCCATCCCTGGGCCAGGGCTACTTCAGGCAGCCTGGCCACCACCAGTGCTGTTGGCTGCTTTGGTTTCTTTTTGGCTTACTGAAAGCACTGATTCTGAAAGATAACCCTTCCGCAGCAGGAAGCACGCTGCTGTCCACCCTGCCAGCCAGGTTCGGTGTATGACGTGGTCTGGCATCATGCTCCACCAGCCCTCTGCCTCCCCCTCTGCTCACCAGTTCCTTATCAGGAAAGGCCACGTGCCTGTGTGCTCCGCAGAGGGGATTTCCGAGCTGCTTTCCTGCAGGCGCACATCTCCAGCGACAGGGCTGAGACGTGAGCACCAGAAATAGCAGCCAGCAGTGCCAGAGGGGCTGCTCTCTGCCCTTTTGACAGAAAGGGGATGATGCAGCGCTCTGCCTTCTGCTCAACCCTCTGTCCTCTCCTCATTATCACTCTGTGCTGCTGTACCAAAGCCTGCAGCCCTCCAGCTCAGACTCCCACCCCTCTGGCACCAGCAATGCCTGTCCCATTGCCCCGTTCTGCCTCGATAACCCAGCAGAAAGAACACTGAACTGATGTCAGACCAATGAGGATCCGACCGTGTGGGACAGACTGGCGCACAACTCAGCATCTTTGCGGTGAGAGACCACTTCCCCAGCACAGCACGGTGCTTGTCAGCATCGAGACAAGGAAGCAGTGTGTGAGACAGAGTGCACTTCAGCAAAACGCTGTGGAAGTGCTCAGGTCCCATCATGGAATCTATGCAATGGTATTAGAGTGTCTCTGACTGAGTCGATGCTATTCGGACTCCTCTGATCATGCCTTCCGTCTCCTAGACAAGTTCTCTGTTGTGCAACTCCTTCGGCATTTCCCAGCCCAGGACAAGTCACTGCTCAAAAAGTGATGTTTGTGGGCTGCTGCTGTCAGTACCTCCTCCTCCTCTGTGCTGTGGAGCAGAGTGGGTCCATATCTTTCCAGACCACGTCACTTAAATGAGAGACGGGTTCTATCACATTGTACGGGGGCTCTGTCCATCAGTGATCCAAGCAGTGGCTTTGTTCTGGATATCTTCATGTCCTCAGAAGCCACAGCCTCCACAAGAGTCTTTGAAATGCCAAACAATTGCAGTAAACTTTCTCTTCAAAGCAATTTGCAAATGTAAAAAATATCAAAAGTAACCACTGAGAGTGCTGGGGTGTGGGCAGAGTCTGACCCCTTCTGACTTTTAGGGTGGAGAAGCCAACATCCCCTCTCTGCATCCTGGCTTCTTTTTCAATGAAAAAGGCAGCATATGATTGCTGTTTTTGCATAAATCAAAAGATCCAGCTCTATGGATCTTGCGTGGGGTATTTCCTATAAAAAGCACATCTGTGGCCATGCTTTTTAGTGCAACAGACTCGAGCCTGGAAGCAAAAGTACACAAACAAATGCTAAATTCAAGCTGACTGGAGAAGATTCCAAGGGAAAGAAGAGTTGGGAAAGCACCTACTTAAGTACTGACTAAGGATATTATCTCTGATCAGAATCTAGCCTCTGTGTGTGTGTGACTGTTGAGTATACAGTGCGGTTTCAGACATGGCCAGAGACAAGAAAAAATGATTGTTTCAGGGTAACCACAAGGAAGATGAATGCAAATGTATTCCTGTAACTGGGAGAGTTCCCTTGCTCCTAACTCGGGCTCTGGTACATGGCCTCAGGGAAGCAAATTTGCAACTACCTACATTTAATTGTTTAGGAGTGATTAATCAGAAGTCAGAGTGGAACAATTTTTGCACGTTGTGAAATGTTAGCTCAATTCCCGTAGTTACAAATGGTCCATCTAGTGGTTCTAACAAACAGCTGGTATCAGTCCTATTTGCTGCTGGGTGCTCTTATCTCCTTCAGAAGCCTGGTTTGATAAGCCTCTGCCGGCTGAGTCACAACTACCTGCATCACATCAGGGTCAAAGCTGCAGCTTGGCACGACAAACCCACGCCAGACAGCCCTGTGTGCCTAATGTGGCATGTAGGCACTCTACAGGATGGCCACCTCCGGCCAGGATGGGCCACTATAGCCAGCACCGCTGCTGCCAGCCCTGAATAACCCTGCAGCACCTGTCTGTCAGGTGACTGCAGTGTCAACAGTGCTGTGCCCATGCTTCAGCTGCTGGAGGTGCAGCTCATAAAGGACATAAAAATACATGGAGCACCTTTGCTGATAGGCCTTGTGGCTGTACATTGTGGCTGAACAGTTTTGGTCCCTTCATTACGTGAAAGACATTGAGGCCCTGGAGCACGTCCAGAGAAGGGCAACAAAACTGTGATGAGTCTGGAGCACGGGGCTTATGAGGAGTGGCTGAGAGAACTGGGGTGGTTCAATCTGGAGAAGAGGAGGCTCAAGGTCATCTTGTCACTCCCTACAGTGACCTGAAAAGAGGTTGTGGCAAGGGGGGGTCAGCCTCTGCTCCCGGGTAACAGTGGTAGGATGACAGGTGGTGGCTTGAGTTGTGACTGGGGAAAAAGGCTGGATATTACAAAATATTTGTTCTCATAAGAGTGGTGATGCATTGGCACAGGCTGTCCAGGGAGTGGTGGATCACTGCGCCTGGAGGTGTTCCAGAACCACGGGGATGTGGCACTGAGGGATGTGGTTAGGGTGAGGATGGGTTGGGATTGGACTTGGTGATGTTAGAGGTCTTTTCCAACCTTAGCAATTCCATGATTCACACATTCCTTTTGCTTAAAGCTGGCTACAGCTTTATAACTCGTCACTTTGTTTCTGTCTCCCTCAATCCTGTTTCTCTCCTTTTCTAGTTTTGGGTTTTCTGTGGACTGAAGTGTGCTGAAGTGCTTCATGACAGCTCGTAGGTCAAAGTCTGGTCTTTATGGTGCTGAGTTTCAGCAGGTGTAATGCCGCAGGTCAGGTGGGTGCTCCCTCAGCAAGCACCCAGCACAGCACCCGACATCTGCCTCTAACGCCGCAGCTGCACCTCACCTGAGCTGGTGGGAGGAAGTAGAAAAAAAGCCAGGGCTGCAGTCATTCCGAATCATGTCTTTTAGTGGTTTTAACCTCAGAAGAGCAGCAGGCAAGAACAAGCTGGAAAGCCATCTGAAGAACCAGCAGCTCCACGCGTTTCTGCGGGGTGTGCCGACGTGTGCTCACCCAGGGCTTGGCTCCGGGGCTCAGTGGGCCTCCTGCACCACGCACAGCCCAGCATCAGATCACAAAATCGAGAGTAAACAACGGCCCTTGCAGCAGAGCAGGAAGCAGGAACAAATTTCCCTTACGAACTCACTTGTCAGGGCACATCTGCCTTTATTGCAACACGATTTGCATAAAAGCCAGGTGTTTGCAGAAGAGGACCTGTCTCTACACCCAGCGTGGTTATTCTGCGAGGAGGCACTCGGCGGGGGGGGGGGGGGAGGGGAGCTGGAAAGAGACCAAAGGGAACCGAAGGGGCCGGGGGAGGCGGTTGGGGCAGGGGGCGCAGCAGGCCGCAGCGGGCCCCACGCGAGCCCCACGCGAGGCCGCGGGCCGGGCTGTGCGTTAGGCCGCACGTTAGGCCGCAGCAGGCGGCAGCAGGAGGCAGCAGGACCCACGCGAGGCCGCGGGCCGGGTTGTGCGTTAGGCCGCGCGTTAGGCCGCAGCAGGCCGCGCCGCCTCCCCGCCCCGCTCCGCCTCAGGGCCGCGGCCGGGCGTGGCACGGGGCGGATCGGGAAGCGGCCGCCGCTCCGCCCTCCCCCTCTCTGCCCTTCCGCGTTGGCGCAGCGCTGCCCCGGTATAAAGCGGGGCCGCCGCCCGGCCCGCTCCGGCCCCATGGAGATGCTGCGGTGGCTGCGCGGTGGGAGGCCGGTAAGGGTTGGGCTGGATTCGGGGCGGGGGTCCTGCGGAGGGTGGGGGGCTCTAGGAAGGGCTGAAGGCCGGGGTTGGGGAAGGAGAGAGAGGCCCTACGGGCTGTGCCGCATCGCCCCTAACGCCGTCGTTTCGGCCCGCAGGTCTGGAGTGCGAGTGAAGGCCAAGAGACAGCTGAGGGTAGCCATGAGTGCGGGCAGCTTGTCCTCCCTGCTGGGCTGCCCCGGCTGGCGTGAGGCGTTCCCAGTGTTCAGACAGCAGTTCAGTCGGCTGGAGGAGAGGATGAGCTCCAGAGATCCATGTGAGAGTGGTTACCTCAGCCTGGGCCGGGCTCTGAGCTGTGAGGAGGGGGTTGGGCCTGCTGTGCTGGGCATGGAGCCCGTGGGGAGCCCCGCACAGGAGCCCCCCGACAGCCTTGAGATGCAGCTGAAGGTGGACTTCTTCCGCAAGCTGGGCTACTCCTCCGAGGAGATCTACGTTGTACTCCAGAAGCTTGGTCTGAATGCTGATACCAACACTGTCCTCGGGGAGCTGGTGAAGCATGGCCCGGCTGAGCGAGAGCCCACAGAAACCCCTCAGGAGACCAAGGAAGCTCCTTTGGTCCCTCGAGGAGGAGCTGCCAACAAGACTCCTGCACCTGTGCCACCTCTGGAGGAGAAGGAGAGTGATAACCTGAAGCCCATTGTTATTGATGGAAGCAACGTGGCAATGAGGTGTGTCTGGGGCTCGAGAGTAGGCCCTTCTGGGGTAGTTTGTACTTAATGTGACCCTTAAGTGCTCCTGTGAGGTGGTGATTTTCTCTACTTCTGTAGCTGTGAGGCGTGCCATGATCTAACAGCCTGGGGTCTGAAAAACTCGGGGTTTTTCACAAAACTGGATGTTCTGGTGGTGGCTGGTAATATTTTCCAATGTACATCACCAGTGTGTGTAGCTATTTCTTGAGGGTGATGGCCCAGATGGCTCCTTCTACTTGTGGTCTCTACCAGCTCTTACTGTGGTCAGTACCTATTCTGCCGGTAGCGGATGTGTTTCATGGGGAAACAAAGTTTCCTTCCCTCCTGTAGCTGCTGAGGAGGATAACTGAAGATACATTGTCCTCTTACCTAATAGTTTTATATAAGCTTCTGTAGCACTGAGTTGCTCAATACCTAATTATGGGGTTAATTAGAAAAGGCTTTAATATGATTCTGTCTCTGGCGTTGGAGGCCAATCTCCAGACTGGGAGTCAGGTATTTTCGTGCATTGTGGAAGATGCTCAAGTTTGGCATGGGCCACTCTGCTAAAGAGTGGCCAATTCTGGCGCTTCTGACAGCTGTGATAGCAAGGCAGGGCTGCAGCCCATCTTCAGCATGTTGGATGTTCTGGTGTTGGTCGAGCAGTTTCTATCAGACAATGTAGGAAGGCCACTGGAGTTGTCTGACAGTAATTTGGGCTTACAGGAATCCTAATAGTCATGGGGCACAAGTATCCTTGCACTGGGCACTTTTCAGTTCAGTGATTCTCCTTCCACCTTTGTTTTTGGTCCCCTTATGATGGGAGTTGCTTGCCACCACCCCAGCTCTAGATGTTGAATTTTCCTCAGCTGCACACAAATGGGTGCCATTAGCTTAACACACCAGATTTTGAAGTTGGGCTCCGTGGTTAAGAAGCACTTCTTCACTGTTTTAGTTTAATAGGTCTTGTAATGCATGTTCGTGTACACGTGCTTGCTTATTAAAAGAAATGAGTGCACATAGCTGTTGTGTATGTCATTGTAGACTTCTTCCTAAGGTGAAAGTGCCGAATGCAGGCTTGTTTGCAGGTGTGGTTTTCACTGAGCCATGGCTGGCAGTTCTAAGAATAGAAATGAGAAAAGGTGGGGTACGATCTGCTGTGTGCCCAGCAGACAGAGCCTCCAAGTCCCCATGCAAACATGATGCTCCCTGGCCCCACTCTGTTGTCAACAGAATAAAATATTTAACTTTGGAGTCTTCAGGAGAGTCCTGTGCTCAGCAGCTGTGCTGTTACCTGAGATGTGGAGCTGATCCGTGTGATTCTTGTGGTGAAGTTTACCTTAGTTAAGTTAAGCTTAAACAACAGCATTGGTTGCATTGATTGAATGAGGAACCTCTTACCCATGAGAGTTACCCCATAAAGTGCAGCAGATTACAGCAGATGTGACTCAGGCAGACCAGGCAGTAATAACAGTGGCAACAGGACAGAGTTTGACATGAGAAACGCGGTCTGGCTTTTCTTTTTTTTTAAGCAACTTGCTAGAAGGGGAATTCCATTCTGAAACTTCCTGTATTGATGGTGTGTGATGTTCCCTGCTGATTCATTTGCAGTGTGTACAGCGGCCTCCCTGAACAGCTCTTGACAAACATATGCAAATCATAGTGGAAATTAGCTTTTACTTCCTTCTAAGGGAATTTTTTCTTGGCTGCTGCCAAATCAGATCAGCCTGGCTGTAGGCTCTAGGGTGGTAGCAGGGGCTCATAAATGAGAAATAAGCAGAGGATGTTAACCTGTGTCTGTCTATAGCGAAAGCAGTCTGATACTGGCAGAGTTCTAGCTAATCTTTCCTGTGATTGTTAATGCTAACCTTTCTGTAACTTGGGATTCTTAATGGAGATAAGTGTCTCTTTAGGTGTGTGTTCTCTTATTAAATGCATAGTTCTTCTGGAATAGTTCATCTGGAACAACTCTTCAGTTCTCTTAATAGCTTCCGAGAAAGGTGGCTTGCTGGAACCAGAGCATGCAGGCTTGGCTGGGTTTGACTTTTCAAGTCCTTTAGAAAACAGAAACTGTTGGATTTGTTTGCTGTAGAGGTGGGTGAGGGGAAAAAACACTAACCTTATTCAGCTAGGAAGTGGCTTTTTACATATGCAAAACAAATCTGGGTTATATTTAAGAAGCCTGGTGGACTTGCTTTGATATAGTACAGCACAATGTGATGACAGTTGGAGAATAATGCTAGATTCATAATTGCTTTACAAAGAAGCAGTACTTATTCCTAGACCTGGGAAATCTTGAATGTTTTTAATCCATTAATAAGATAATAGGTTTATTTCTATCCGAATGCATACAGCTTTTAATTTTCCTTCCTTTTAATGCTTTTTTTCATGATGGCCTAAGAAGTTTGGTGTTTCAGAAAGGGGGGAGAAGCTTAAATGTGTCAGCAAATTAGTACAGGGTTAAACACATAAGCTTGTGACTTTGAGGACTGGGCATGAGCTCAGCAACACTGCTGTGTTGTGTGAGGTGTTGGGGCATCTGCTCACCTTCCCTGTCTTCTTTCCTTTCCTCTCTGGCATTGTGTGAAGATGCTTCAGCCATTTCATGTGACCTGTGCTTCAGCTTTGCTTGCCCAGGTTTGATTTTTGTACCATCTCCCTTGTGCTCTTTAGGGATGTGTTCACCCACTGCCTCTCAAGTCTCCACATCTGGGGGCATCTTCCCTGATTACAGAACCCTGCTGTGAGCCTGTGTACAACCTGCTAGGCTCCATGTGCTACAGGAGGCTGTCTTGTACCTCACAGTGCTTATATTCATCTTTTTCTGCCTCACCTGTGAGGCCCTGTGTGCATTCAGACAACATGTAGCTGTGGTGTTTGCTTTGTGTTCTGTGTAATGCGCTGGGCTGTAAGTGTCTTGGAGTTGGTGTCCCTCTGTGATAGACAGGATGTGTTTGATTAAGCTTGTGTGCAGCTTTCAGCACTGACCCAGCTGTGCCCTGGAGCTGTGGGCCTGTTTCTAAGGTGCCTTTGGCTACAGAGCTCAATACAAATATCCAGAGGCACAGCTACACAGCTGTGTCCTGTGCAAGTCCACACAAGACACTTTGCTTACAGAAGTAAAGATTAACAAACATTTCTCACAAATGCCCCTAATTTGCTGTTCAATCTTGTGGCTTGACACCACTTATCTTCAACATAATAAAACATGTCTTGGTGTCACTACAAAATGCAGGCTTAGATCCCCAGAATGACAAATCAGGCTGCAACAGAGAGTCATTGAAAGTCTGCCAGAGCCATTATCAACAGCAAAGCTGATAACACTGTAAATAGTGGCACTGATAGAACACAACTGGTAGTTTCCTCATAGAGGTTCTGCAAACTTACTGATATGGAGTAATGAATAATGAAGCAGCTTTTAATATTGTAGGTGGTTTCTGACGCTGTTGCTAAACTTTGTGTCTTAGCTGCCAAGTGCTCTTGGGACATTGAGCACCGGTGAAGGGAAATGTTGATATTTCATGCAAATGTGCTATTTGCATGAAGCATCAGCAACTGAAGAGGCATCCTGCCTCAGTGCTGGTGTCACTGGGGTAAGAGTGCACAAAATGGTGTGTTTTCCCTTAGTTATCAAAGCAGCTTCGTAAGCAGATCCCTTTGTGGAAGTGCAGTTTGCCCTGGCTTGGCCGTTGGCACACGCTAGCAGAAAAGGACAAAGGAAGTTCAAGATCACGTTGTACTCAGGGCTAAAAATAAAGAGCTGAAGCAAAAGGCCCTGCTTCAAAGGAGCAGTTACAGCTGCTTTGTTCTTCCCACTGAAAACTTGGCTGTTTGTTGGTGTACTGAGGTGCTAAAAGCAATGGTAAAACCTGGTGCTCTTCCTTGAGATCGGCATGTAATACTGATTCTTACTGCTCCAACGCTGAAGGTTGTTTTAATTGCTGAATCTGTTTGCTTAATCTGTTGCCTCACTGATCTGTACATCACCTGAATATTGAAATCCTTTATTTTCTTCTTCACTGCAGCCATGGAAATAAAGAGGTGTTCTCCTGCAGAGGAATCCTTCTGGCTGTGCAGTGGTTTTGGGACAGGGGACACAAGGATATTACAGTGTTTGTGCCATCTTGGAGGAAGGAACAGCCACGACCAGATGTACTTATAACAGGTGTGGAAATATGAAAGCCAAGAGCAGCTTTTCAGGCTTATTGCTTTGTCGCTTAATGAGCTTGCAAAGTTCTGGGTAGTTAGTAATTAACTTATGAATGGAAGATCTGAGCAGTAGGAGATCCAATAAGCTGTGCTGACCAGTGAGATTTAAAGTCATTAAATTCTCCCTTAAGCAAGTTCTTGCCTGGATCAGTTGGAATAAATCAGAGAACAAAGAATGTAATACTGCTCTGCTTAACTTGTCCTTCATGATTTGAATTCTCCTTTCAGGGAAACACCTTTATGCTATATTTGACTAACATGTTTGACACTAGAAAGTACAGAGTTGCGATGCACTAGAAGTAAAACCTCAATAGGAGTACAGTCAGGTTTCTTCAAATAGAAGGAAGTTTGCTCTCAGCTTATGCGGAGCTGAGATTTCCAAGTAAACCTACTCAAAAGTAACGTGTGCACACAGTGTTACTATAAAATATGCCAGTCTTAAATGCAAATCAGTACCTTGTAAGCAGGATTTGGATGGGACTCCCTGTGTTTCAACAGCCTCATGTTCCTAAGTGTTCCCAGGTGGGAATCCACCTCTGATAGACTCAAAAGATAGTATGAAAAAAGAGGGGAGGGTTGCAAAGAAACGAGTTGGCGTGCATTTTGTTCTTTACAGTGTTACCTTATGGGTGGGAAGACCTTCTGGGCTGTGCACATTTGTGATGTGGTGACAGTTGTGTTTGTTGTAGATCAGTACATTCTCCGTGACCTGGAAAAGAAGAAGATTTTGGTCTTCACTCCTTCCAGACGGGTTGGGGGCAAACGTGTTGTCTGCTACGATGATCGATTCATTGTGAAACTGGCACACGAGTCTGATGGCATCGTGGTTTCTAATGATACTTATCGGGACCTGCAGAATGAACGTCCTGAGTGGAAGAAATTCATTGAGGAGCGTCTGCTGATGTATTCCTTTGTTAATGACAAGTATGTTCCCACAGCGAGGGTAACGAGGCGTGAAAAAGGGAAAAGGGTGGTAGAGAATGGGAGAAAACAATCCCATAGATACTTCTGTAGAAGGAAGAGAGACAGGAAGAACTCCTCCCTGGCTGTATAAGGTATGAAGAACTGGAGACAATAGCTGCACGTGGTTTGCAGGTAGGAGCTCTGCTCTGGAGGAGTTCTTGGGAAAGCTCTAGTGCTTGATTTCCTCCCAACGCTGTCATTAGCAGACCCAGCCCCAAGTGCTGCTTTTAGTCAGCAGCACAGCACAAAACCTCTTCTGTGCCTGAAGAGAAGCACTTCTTGCCAGTCTGTACCAGGTGATAAGCAGTGAAATGGGAAAGTTTTTTAGGGCTCATAACTTTTAATGCTTGGTGAAATGGGAGACTTCTATAAGAAGTGAAACCCTGACCCCAGAAAGTGAGCTGTTCCTGATTAAGATATCTATTTTTTTTTTTTTTTTTAAATTATTTTTAGGTTTATGCCTCCAGATGATCCATTGGGGCGGCATGGCCCCAGCCTGGATAACTTTCTGAGAAAGAAACCTGTGGTGCCAGAACACAAGAAGCAGCAGTGCCCTTATGGTAAGATTTGCCTTCTGAACCTCAAAGCTTCAGTCCCTGTACAAGTGTAACTTGTGCGTTTGGTAAAATTCAGCTGTCATTCCTTGCTATCGATGCTTTTTTTCCTTGCAGGGAAGAAATGTACTTATGGAATTAAGTGTAAATTCTACCACCCTGAAAGGATCAATCAACCCCAGCGCTCATTAGCTGATGAACTCCGTGCCAATGCAAGATTGTCTCCTACCAGAAGTACCAGTGCTGTCAAGGAGGAGAAAAAGGGCAAAAGAGGCTCCCAGGCAGAGCTCTTGTGCTCTGGGTCTACAGAGAGTGATAAAAGCTCTTTGCAGAAGATCTCTGCAGAGAGGAAAAGCTTGACACATAAAACAAAGCCCAATGATGTTCCGCTTCAGATCAAAGGCTGTGTGTCAGGCAGTGCTCCTGCTAACAGTGGGAGCCACAGGTCCTCTGAAAGGTACCAGCATCCTCATATGGACTCTCTGTCTTACATCTCTCAGGAGCATCTTGACTCAGGCATTGGGTCTCTGGAGAACCAAATGTCTGACATGTGGCCTTACAGATCTACCAGTCACTGTGATCACTCCCATGCCGAGCAGGTGACAGTCTGCTCCTGTGGTAGGCAGAGACCTGTCTACCCACACTCTCCCAGCTTAGAGCAAAACGGTCTGGTCTCTTACAAGCATGGTTCCCATAAATCTTCTGCCTCTGGTGCTAGCTTCTTGCAGTACAACCCTGAGATACCTCACTCAGGGCCACCTCACTCTTTCTCAGGCTATGGGGTACCTGTCCATCCAGCTAATGCTGGGCAGTACAGTCTCCCCAGTGAGTACAATGCCCCTTCTCTTCCTTCACTTCATTCTCGTGAGTACTGGTCTGAGCCCTACCAGATGCCTCCTCCCCAGGTGAGATCTACCAGCGTGCGAGATCCTCACTCAGTGCAGAGAGCCCCAGGGCCAACGTATGGTGATTCCTGCCAGTGGAGTGTCTCTGATCAGTTTGCAGAGGAGAGGGCCAATGTTCATGTCAAGCTGTGTGGCATATTCCATCCCCATTTAGTTGATGCTGTGATGAGCCGTTTCCCTCAGCTTTTGGATCCCCAAAAGCTTGCCGCAGAGATATTAACCTACAAATCCCAGAACCCAGGTATATGAAGCAGATGCCAAGGGTAGCCAGCATGCTAAGCTTGTGGGCAGTGTTTGCACTCTGTAGCTGCCATTCGAGGGCTCCTCTTTGTTCCCTGCAAGTCCCAGCTGGAGGCTGGATACCAGATGTGGCATGTTCACAGCGATTTCTGGTCTGGTCATGACTGTGTCCCTCTTAAAGATGTGAGAGTAGGTTATGGTCCCTGTCATCCTCAAAGGATGCTGAAGAGAATCTAGGTGCAGGACAGGAGAAAAGGCTGCTGTTTCAGAGCAGATCTTTCCTATGGGATTTACATGGTGAGTTAGGCACACCCTAAATTCCTGCAGTTCAAAACTGTGTATGGCCTCGTTCCTCCCGCTAGCTCAAGCTTTGTTTTGGCTTGGATTGTTAGCAGGCATACAGAGGGAGGATTCTGTGGGGCTTGTGAAACAAAAACATGTATGTGAAACATACGATCTCTAGTTGTGTGAGGCTCATTTCTGAGGACTGAAATGTGTTGTCGAGGCTGTTCCTAGCTCTTTGCTAAGTTATCAATCCAACGTGAAGTTAGGTTTAGCTGTCTTAGATTTGACTTTATTGGTGCACTTGTTTAGTGATACCCCTCCCACTTCAGCTCGCCTCCCTGAGCTGAGGCAGTTCTATGATATACACCACAAGTGCTCAGCAAGCTGCTCAGCTCCTAGAAGCACTGGGGGCTAGGAATAGAATTCATCCTGAGAAAGGAAGGAAGACCCGACGCTGCTCCGAAGCCGCAGTGAGCTGTGTTTGCTGGAGAAGGCAGTCAGTTGTCAGGATGTGGATGGCCGTGCTGTTGAGGCTTCTCTACAGATTGTCCTTGCCTGGTATCCTATCTTTGGCTATCTGTGTAACACTGACAAAGAGGATTTATGATACAGTGCCTTTTGTCTTCAGACAGCAATAGTTTTGAGCATTCAGTAAAACAGCTGCTGCCAATACTGTTCCTGAGGACTCCTTAATACTTTTCAAAGCTGTTGCTTCGTCTTCCTTCTCACTGATATTTTCCTGTCCCCTTCAGCTTTGTCAGACTGTAACAGCATCCAAAAATGTAGAATGAGACTTACTTGGTAAGGCTGTTCCCCTTTCGTTCCTTCTTCCTCTAAGAAGTTGTGTGGTTTTGTTTTTTTAATTGTAGATACTGTAATAGATTTTAAATATGCAAAAAAAAAAAACCGATTGCTGTAGTAATTGGTTCTGGTCCTGGAATTTCACTGTGTTACGGTGCAGGGATGTTTCCTGCACTGCAGGCCAGAAGCAGTTGATTTGTTGATGCACATTGTATCTGTGTTTTGTGTGTTGGGTTTTTTTTAAGTACGTCCATCTCGTGGTTAAACCAAGGCTGTCGAGTGGCAGATCATCAAGGGGAGAGTGGAATACAGTGGAAAGCTGAGGAATGGTTTTGTCTATTACCCACCTTCCCTCTGTCCAAGGAGTGACCTACCCAAACAGGCACCATGTGCCATAAAAACCACAGGGACACAGAAACCTGTATACCTGGTTAATGATGATACATTACAAATTAGTAATGTTTCATGTTAGTAAGCAAAATGCTTCTTAATTTTAAGTAACCTGATACTGCGCGTATTTGTAAATTACAGGAAAAAGAAAAGAAATGGTTTTTAATGTTATTGTCCAACAACTTGATGCTTGATGCTGTTGTTCATTAGTGCTATCCTTGACTCAGCCACTGTGTTACTTGGCGTGGTGTGTTTTGTTTTCCTGGCAGAGTGCTGATAGACTCCTGCAGTCGGAAGGCTAACGATTCCTGCTCCGAAGCTGACGTGTTACTGAACTTTGTGTATCATTATGCAGTGTGTAGGTTATGTACTGAGTGGAGGCAGCTGTGTGGAAGCTGTGGCGAAGTAAGAACCCGTGTTATATAAATAAATACTGCTGAGTTGAACTTTGGGCTCTGCTGGCTTTTTGGAAGAGGTTATCCTGCCTCCCTGGGGTTCCTCTGATGCTCTCAGACCTCTGCATGGAATCTAACAGCAGCAGCAGTGGCTGGATGTCGTTAATTGATCTAAGATGGTAGGTCTTAAACTGCTTTAGTAGGTAACACGTCCAGTTACTGAAGTGAACCCACTGTGCAGGGGATGCAGTGGTCGTTAAGGTGCCACGAGGCTGCAGTGCGATGGTGTGAGGGCATCTGACTTGTTGGTGTGACAGCTGTGCTGTGGTTGGGTGTCTCAGGTGATGGGGGTCACGCATTCCTGATCCTTCTGGGGGAACGTGTGGGTCGTGCAGCAGTTCTGTGGCAGAGTATGGAAACAAATGCACACGTTGTCCAGTTATACAGCACAGCTGAGCCAGGTGCAGCTGCCACGTCAAGCTTTGCTCTATAGCTTTGTTAGAGCTCAAAGGAAGTGCATAAGGGTATGAAGTGCCTGTTTCAGGTGCATCTGCTACCTGCTGTACTGTAGTGCAGCATATTATGTGACTTGGCATGGTTTTTTTTTTTTATTGCCTTTAATAAAGGTCATGCTCTTAATTTAATCCAAGGTTATTTTGAGTTCATAAAAAGGCAAGGAAAACAGTTGCTCCTGGTTTTTGAAGTGAAGCACTACGTGAAAGGTGACTTATCTGTTGCAGAGGACTCCTTTGGAGGCTGTTGTGTGAAGCCTAAGGAAGCTCATGGTGCACTGTGTGTGACCAGGACCTTGGTGATGGGTGAACCAAGTGATGTGTCAGCTCTGAACCTGGTGAGGACTTCTGTTTGTTGTAGTGGGACCTGCATCTGCTGCTGTAGTCGGAGATACTTGGCTGAGTGTGACTTAGGGCACACGGTGTGCCCAGCTCTGGGCTCTGCTGTTGCTGAGGGATTGCCAGCACATCCTGTGGCTCTCTGCTTCCTGGTGCTCTGCAGGGGAGGACCTGTCACGACTGCAGTGTCTGCATTATTTCTTGTCCATCTAAATAGGTTAAATCTTCTTGTCAGCTTGCTCGTAAATTAAATGCAGCCGAGGAGATCAGCTGCAGCACCCTGTGGGGAAGCTGTCTGTACTTTAATGGGGTGACAGTGCCAGGGAGAGGCCAGGGCAGGAAAATCTCCTTTGATGTGAAATAGAGGAGGCCGAGGGGCTGTGCTGTGGTGCTTAGAGGAGAGCTGTCTCTTTGTCTTCCCAGCAGTGCTAGAAATAGGTGCAGAGGTAGTTCAACATCATCAAGGCTTTGCTTCCTCTGTGCAATGAAAGGAAGGGGAAGAGCCCTCCTTTGGAAGTCAGTGCAGCAGGATATCTTTACTTGCCCTTTCTTCGGAGTACTGAAGAGGAGCACAGTGCTGTGGCAGAGGTTGGGGCAGAGCCTGCTGCATTGCCACCTTACCTCTGTGTGAAGTGCAGCCTGGTCCTGGAGGCTCTGCCTGCTGTGCCCCCAGCTCTCCTCGCTGAATTACCCTGTGAGCTGCCCGGCTCTCTTCTGCAGGAGGATTTCCAGGCTGTGGCTGGCTCAGCTCTAACATTTCTGTACATCTTTTGAGGCAGGAATCTGACCTCAGCCTCCAGCCAGGGCCATGGGAAAGGGGCAGGTGCTCTTACCTGTGTGGGGCAGGCTGTGCTACGAGGAAGCATTTCCAGCATGAAGGGTAGAGGGAGAGAAAGCAAGGCAGGAAGCAAGCAGAGATGCCTCAGCTGGAAAGAAGCTGCTGCTGTGAGATGGGAGAGAAGTGAAGCTGTGGGTGCTGCCTGCAGGCTCCTGCCAGTGCTCACCCTCCGGCCATGCTGCTTTACAGTGCTCCTCTGGGCCTTGTGCTCCTCAAGGCCAGGGTTTGCAAGTGACATTTTTTCCTTTAGGGAGCTGCATCAGAATGGCAGAAATGCTTTCTCCACCCCAGCAGCTCCTCAAGCAAAGTTCCCTGAGAGCAGCATGGAGCTCTGCCCCATGGCAGCACGGAGGGGAGCAGCAGCCAGCGTCATCCCACAGGGAAGCTGCAGAGCAGGAACAAGAGGCTGCCCTGTGCTTCCTCTGGCTGCCTCCCCTGAAGGCCTGCATTGCACAAATATGTTTTGGAGTAAATGCAGTGTCTGCTGAAGCAATAGGTCAGGAGGATTTGCATGGTGTAGTGGCCCAGGGGAAAGGTTTCTGCAGCCTGGGAGCAGCTCTGGCTCAGCCTGGGGGGAAGAAGCAGAGGGTAGCTGTGCTGTAGAGCTTCACCCAGAGCTGGGCCAGGGGCACAGAGCAGGCAGTGGAGAGGCTGTGCTGCGCCCACACTTGCAGGTGTGCTGGCCTGGGGTGCTTAGCTTGGATGCTGCTTTTCTTCTTGCAGAAGTTGACCAGTTTGTGGCTGAGTTTTGCTGCAGCAGTCCTGGGAGTGAGTAGCTTACAGGGCCCCTGCTTCTGGCAATTCTATGAAGAGTGGGGCTGTCCCATTTCAAGCACGATGCAGGAGCCAGGTCAATGCAGGATGAGTCAGGCTGCTGCTATTTGCATTGCATCAGTTCCCTGAGGTGTGGGCACTGCATGGGCACGTTGGGAGGAGCGGTCCCTGCATGCAGTGCCCTGGGAAGCAGGGGCTGCAGTGGGGCACAGTGCAGGACTGGGTTGGTGGCAGCTGTTACACAGTGACACAGGGTTAATGGACAAGCAGCAGCAAACAAGTCTGCCTGGTGCTGGCATGGAACTATGCCTACAGAAGCTGTGGGGCTGGACGCCAGTTCTGGCTGTAGGACAGGGTCATACACACTTGGGCTGACCTTCAGCCACGTGCCAAGGCACAGTTCTGTGCTGATGCCAGGCACAAACTCCATATCGCAGCAAGCGGCAGCTGGAGAGGAGGCAGAAGAAACATGGAGTTTTCTCCTGCCCAGCTCAGATAGTTGCATTCCCCTTTAGCTGGCACCTGTTGGGAGCTGCTCAGAGCTGGGCACGCCTGGCTCCACCACTGCCAAGCTCAGAGGCAGCTGGTGGTGGCCCTGGTGCTGTACCTACAAGGAAGGGCTGAGCACGGGGCTGGAGCTGCAGTGAGAGCAGCTGAGGAGCAGCTGGTTTGCATAGGCTGCTCAGAAGGCAGGATTATCTGCAGGGCGGCAGGAAATGCTGCTGCCACACGCTCCTTTGAACAGCACGAGCCTATCTGCACATCCACAGTGAACGTTTCCGTAAGTGAATCACGGCTGCAGCACAAATTCACCTGGTGCTCAGCACAGTGCTGGCTGCTGCCACGTGTTGGGCTGCAGTGAGGGCCTGGGGCAGGGCTGGGCACCAGGAGCTGCAGGCATCATGCTGAATAAATGAGACCTGCAGGAAGCAGCCATCCTTTATTTCTTATCAGCAGAAGAGAGGCTGAGGGCGTGCAGCCCCCTCTGCTCTGGGGGAGGTGGGTTGGTGTTGGCTGCTCCATGCTCATACTGGAACAAATCCCACCTCCCATCCGGAGCTGTTCCCCATGCTGCGTCCCTCCACCAGGGGCCTGACAGAGTTGCAACACGTGTGGGAAGATGCTGATGGAGGGGATGTATTCATCCAAGAAGGAAGTAAATGGGGCAGTGCTTGGGTTTTGCAATCCCTCCGTTGCCACAGCTCCTCCAGCTCGTGAAAGGTGATGGTGGGAACTTTCAGTGACCACAATCCTTGTTCCGGGACACTCCCGAAGCGTTGCAACAGCTGAGGAGGATGCTGGCTGGGTCCCCAGGGAGCACTGCCATTGCTGTGGACACAGCAGTGACTTGCCCTGGGGCAGAGCAGGAGGCAGTGGGTGGCCTTGAGTGGCGCTTGGCTCCCGGGTTTCTGCACTGAGTGTGAGGACAACTTGTAGCACCGTGTTCCAGCACAGCACTGGCTGCAGTAAGAGCCACAGCCAGGACCCCGTCTCCAAGTGCACGGGGAGCTGGCTTACAGCGAGCTGCCTCCTGGCAGTTTTGTATTTTTGGGAAATGGCTGCAGTTCTGCTAAATGGGCTGGGCAAGGCAGGGCTGGGCAGGGCCCGGCTGGCACCAAATCTATCAGATGAGGCTGATGAGATGGGCACATACAGGGACATGGAAAAGTGAGGGGACTGCAGTGTCCCAGCTCTGGGTTGAGCAAGCCCCTGGTACCCAGCTCTCAGTGGCACTTACAGCTCCTGCCTGGCACAGAACCGCAGGCTTCCAGAAGCTGCCTGGGCATGGGATGAGCTGACAGTGTTGCTCCATGCAGCAGAGCCCTTTGGCAATGTGCAGGGGCTGGGAGCCCCTTCCCCAAACACCAGCTCCTTGTTCCCCTGCTGCAACCTCACGGCCCCAGCTCTACCTGCAGGATCCTGTCCTTCATTCTCATTCAGCATCTCGGCTTCTCCCAGCAGCTCAAGGCTGTCTCTGCTGTCCCTCTGCAGGAGCTGGAACAGGGTATGAGTGACTGTATTGGGGGGGAGGGGGAGCAAGGGGATCCTTGAGATCCTGAGGACCCTGCAGGGGTACCCACCCGTTGCCGCAGCTCTTGCTGCTCCCGCAGCAGCTCCAAGAACCGACTGCTCCACAGCAGTTTCTCAGCCCCCAGCTCGGTGCAGAGGAAGCGGACATCATCCTCCAGTGCCTCCAACCTCCCCACTGTGGCCTCGTTGGCATCACGCAGCCGCTGCAGCTCCAGCACTGCCCAGGCACCACAGCTCTGCTCCACCTGAGCTGGCACCAGGGTCTCACCTGCCCCTCAGCACCCACCTGTCTGCTCAGGCTCCAGCACAGCAGCAGCCGACCCGTCCTCCTCTTCCTCGCCCCCCTCACTGTCATGATCCACTCCCAGCAGCTGGAAGGCACCGTGGACTGAACCCCATTGTGTGGTGCCCATAGGGACCCTTCTGCCACCCAGCACCGCGTCACCATGAGTCCCCGCTGCTGGAAAGCCCCTGAGGGCACTGGGGGGTGTATGGTGGGGGGGGGGCTTTACCTCTTCAGCAAACTGGAAGGTGATGTCCCAGCAGCTTGTGTAGCACATCAGAAGGTACTGAGGGAGAGCACAGTGCAGTGGGACCCACTGAGGATGACAGGGTCTGAAGGGGGAGCAAAGACCCCACATCCTCAGGGCTCTTCACAACCTCCTGCCCAATGAACCCGGTTGCAATCCTACAACAATGCGAAGCCCACACATGCATGCAGTCCCATAGTGAGGGAGCCCCATAGCACCAACCCACAACAGCCTCCAGAGCCACTGCAGCCCCTGCAGAGCCGTCCTGGAAAGGGACAGGAGCTGCCAGCACCCAGAACGCAGGAGCTGCCTCCACCACGGCCTCCCTGGGCTGCGCTGCTTCCTCATGGGGATCCTGCAGACAGGGATTGGAATGGAGACGTGCTGCAGATCCCAGGACAGGCAGTGGCTGCAGGATGCTCCCAGCCCTGCCAACAGGAGGGCGAGCAGCCCTCCTCCCCCATTGCTGTGCCCACTTACCTGGCAGTGCAGCCCAGCTCAACTCGGGCAGGAGGTGCAGGGAGAGCTGCTGGGCAAGGCTGTGGAGGCTGCTGCTCCTCCTGCCTGCTGCTATGCCTTCAGCCCGTTGCTCAGGATTGCTAAATGCCTGCCTAATCCTCTTGCTGATGAGGCTGTGCCAGGGATTAGGGGTACTTCTGCTCTACCTTCAGTCACCATAAGGACAGTGGCTGCTGGGCCACCACCGCTCTTTGCTCGGGATTCATCTTCTGCAAGCAAAGGACTTTATTGTAACTGTATTTGGCTTTCATTGGCATTGAAGTAAAGCCTGGGCAGCCAGGTTCAAGGTCAGCTGTCCCGGCCTGGGGAGCTTTACACCCTCCAGCTGTGCAGGAAGAGAAATAAAGGTCTCAAGAAATAGAGGGGAAAGTTCAGGCGATGCCAGCCTGGCCCAGGCTCTGCCACACACCCCTGGTGCAGGTGGCAGTGCTGCTGTGCTCAAACTGAGCAGACTCAAACTCCCATTACAACAGCACCTCGAGGGAGCTGATGCTGCAGCGCTATCACTGCCGACAGCTTTTGCTCTGGGACGCGCAGTTCTGCTCCCTCTGCTGGAGCAGACCCCAGTGGACACCGTGGTTTCTCAGTCTGAAAGCTGCAGCAGGACGGGACGGGGCTCCTTGAACACCGTGATGGGCAGCCATCTCCTCAATCAGAACCGACTGAGTCTGTTTGTCCCTTTCCCTCAGGGACAAGCACTGCTGGGGAAGGTTGCAGCACCCCCAGTCCATATTGCAGGGACGCAGACCCGACGGACGCTTTGCCATAAAATCTCCGGCACGTGAGGCTCTCTGTGTGACATGAAGCCCTTTTGCTGTTTCTCTGCAGGGGAGACTTTCCAGCCCAAAAGGTCCAACGCTGTCCCTGAGGTCAGAGGTGCAGCACGGACCCCTCGAGGTCAGGCCTTTATAAACCTTGCTTTGGAACGGCAGCACCAGGGAAAAAGAGCCCCAGAGAAAAGCAGCTTTTGTACCAAGGTCAAGTAGTCAGAAACCATCAGCTAAGTCGTCTTTTTTTTCCACAGCTATAGCAAAGCAGGCCCTGTTAGGACTGTATGCTATTTCCTACATCTTCTATTCCTCTCTCTTTTACCTCTTAAGAGGAATAAATTTAAACACAAAAAAGTAGGGCAGCTTTACTGCTCTCCCATTAAGCCACTCTGTCCTAGCAGCTCCCTGTGGCCGAGCAGCAGCACCAGCACACACTGCTGTGGGCTAAGGCAGGAGCCACCAGGAGCAAACACAGAGCTGCCTCCATTCCCTAACGAGAAAACAAGGGGGAACTGTGCTCCTGTGTTCACCTTCACCTGCAGGTCCTGCATGGCAGGGTTGCATAGGGGAGATGGTGGCTGCTGCTGCCACAAGGAGCTGCAATGCAGGACCCCAGGAAAGGAGAAGTGCAGCAGAGCAGAATTCAGGCTCCGCTGTAACAAGTGCACATAGAAGTACATGGAAGGCTGTAAGGCAAGTGCTACAACTTTTTACACAGCACTCTCTCTCCCTCCGAACTGATTAAGCAAGCAAAAGCATCCCAGCACAGGAAACTGGCAATACCCCACCTTGGGAAAGGCACAGCTGCTTTCCACACTGCTATCTTGACTCGGCCACTGTGAAAAGCACCAAACATTCACCCCTCTGTGTGCTTTCCCAGCAGCAATCCAAATTGCTCATCCCTTATCTGCAGGCACGCCGCCAGCAGCACTGAGGACTGCCTGCCATCCAAGCCCTACCTTGATGCAGGATTAGTTGAACATGGCTGGAGATTAATGCCTGGCAATCCTTTCAAGCACTCCATGTTATGTCTACCGCAGGAGAGCAAGCACAAATGATTCCTCCAAAGGGTCATGGGACGAAAGCAGCTGCTATGTGAAAGTGGAGGAGCTGCAGCAAACTCCCCACAAAGCTGACGGAGAATAAAAAGCACCGGGAGACAATATTTTGACTGAACAGAACACGGGAAGAGAGACGAATGTGACTTTTATTGTTTATGTACAAATGAGGGAAGTTTGTATTAAAAAGAGAATCTACCCAATGTCAAAAGATAGCAGAGAGCAAGGTGGCTCTGAGCTCCAGCCTCCTCTGCGTCTAAAAGCACTGTGCCAACTTCAGGGGATGGCATTCAAAAGAAAAGTCAGAGAAACTGGATGACTGCTTTGTTCTCTGCTTACCTACAAACCAAACTGAGCTGTTCCACAGAACGAAGAGCCTTCCTCTCTACAGGCATTAAAACAAACCAGAAGCCCATTTATTAACGATGCACTTTGGTTTAAAAAAAACAAAACAAAACCACAAAGAAACAAACAAAACCACAAAGCTACGTCTCAGTAACAAAAGGAACCTAAGTCTTACAGCGTGGATGGGACACAGTGAATCACAGCCCTATTCCAGCAGGAAAGGAAATGCCTCCCCACGGTTTTACAGAGGCAGCACTAAGATCAGCCAATTGAAGGAAGCTCCTGACTGAGCTGGAAGCACAGAATAGCCAGGAATTGAGGACTACTACTACTACACCTTCATCTCCTGTCAGTCAGGGTGTCTACAAATGATGCAAAGACATGTCCAAGGCTTTCTCCCCCTTGAGCTGGTTAGAGTGGATGGCTCCCTTCTGCACACACGTGGCCAGAGAGCTGCCACTGTGCTCGTTCAGATGACTGGAGTTATTCTTGGTGGGGATTCATGTAGGACCGGATCCCAGAATCTTCAGCACTGATGTGTCTAGTAGTCCTGCAGAGACAGAAGATGGGCACGTTAAGACCTTTCTACTTCCACCTCTGCTGGCAGAGCTGGGATTCCTTGCCTTCTCTCATTCTACACGCCATGAGCTGAAGGCAAAAGAGAAAAGAGATTTGTTTTCAGCCCAAACCAGGTGCTTTTATTGGTGCACTTCATGACAGAACAGAAAGATGCAGAACAGCTTTTTTGTTCACGTGCACACGGCTGAAGTGCAACCTTGCTCCGTAATGAGCCCACCTGGGCTTTTTCACTATCAAATCTGGAAGACAACGCTTACACTTCATCCCTACACATTCCCCAAGCACAACAAACAACATCTCCTATCACGGCAGAGGAGGCTTTCCAGGATGAGCAACAAAAACAATGACAGAGCACTGATACTTACAGCTCTCGGCTTTTTGTTTAACTTGAGATCAATCCTGTGGTTGGAAAGATAAGAGAAACGTCCATTTCAATACACGACACAAACAGTAGGTTGCAAAGAACCAGCTACTGAATATGGCACAGGCTACGACAAAGGCTATTCGGTTAATTCAATCCACATTCTCGATTGGGCTGAGCCAAATCACTGTCCCAACATTACAAGAGAACAGCAAAGAGAAGGAGAGTGGATTCTTTGTTCTTTGCCACAATGCATATTCCGTTCCATTCAGGAAAAGAGTTAATAAAAATCACAGGGAAGTTGTGCAGCACAAGGAAATACTGTTACACATGCATGCTCTATGTTCACTGTTAGATGTGTAACTATGCCACAGGTAATTATCCAGACATAGTGGCAAGGGTTATTTACTAGGGACAGAGAGAGGAGTTTAAGATGGCAGGGATTACAGGAGACAGAGGTACGGAGTTGGTTATGGATGTCCAGAAGGAAACAACCAAATCTACACTGATCTCCTTCAGAAGCAAAGCCAGAAGAATCAGTTTTTAAACGACACGTTTAAGTTAAAGAGTTGATCTACTTAAAAAACGGAACAGAGAGGTCAAGGAGAGTGAAGTTAATTTAATTTTGCTGAAGTTATTAAATAAAATGTTACCTCCATCACGCTTTTCTGTTTTTTAAAAAAACTTCCCAGCCTAACCTAATATACATACCTACAATTAAACAGATAAACTATGGGTTAGAAAGGTCTCAAAAGGCACATTGGTGTCTACACACTAACAACACAGCACAAGTACTAATTCAAGTCAAACTTACTCAAAGTCATAATCAAACATGCCAGACGGGCTGAGGGGCAGCATTTGAAAGGAAGAAAGCAATAGAAATTAATACACTAACGAATTAAATAAATTAGTCGATTAGCCACCCTAGCGAGAATACTACAAATAAATAAGTAAATAAACCAATGAAAGCCAGTGTTCAAAACGCCACAAAGTTCCGAAAGGTAACTTGAAGGTTCTTGAACCAGAACGGGGCACAACAACAACAACAACATAAGCACTGCAGGTCTGACAGAGCCCCAGCCCCAGGTGGATGGTGGGGATGGAGGTGTTAGGAGCGGTGTTACGCAGGGAGCGCTGCGTGCTGAGGGCTGCAGAGCTCACAGATCAAAGCACGGATTTGCTCACAGAACCCAACGGGTGGTCAGGAAGCAGCGGCTTTGGCTGGATTACTGAGCAAAGCAAAGCTTGTTCAGGCAGAGGTGGAGACAACCATGAAGCTGCGTGGCCACGCAGGCGCTCGACGCTCCCTCAATGCACACCCCACTCCCCTTGCACCCAAACATCCCTTTGGGAGCTCTCAAGTCCAACCATGGCTTGCTGCATTCCCACCCCACCTGTCAGCACCCAGCACTGATGGCACTGCGCTCTGCCCCAAAGCTCTGCTTGGCGCTTCTCAGCGCTGGGTCTCTAAGAGGAAGGAGGGCTGTTTTCCCCTGAAACACTTTTTAGCCATGAGAATCATCATCTGGGCCTTCTGTGGTCTGAGGGAACAGAGGGTGGTTTCAATAAAACACTGCCACGTGAGCTCCTGCTTTAATTGTCAGGAATTATTACCAGCTATTCACACAAGCTCTGCTCAATCTGAATCCAACTCTCCTCGCTGCCACTGGTGGCACAAGAGTGAGAAAAACTGGAGCTACGTGGAGTCAGTGCACCTTCAGAGCATCCATTCCCAGCACCTCCCAGTCCTTCAGGAACAGGTGAGCAGAACTCAAACGCATGCTGGAAATGAAAGAGCTTCTGAATGAGCTGTGCCATTAAAAAGATTGAGACTGGCTTTTGTTTGGTTCAAACCTTGAAGATCATTTGGGCTCTTCTGCTGAAATTTAGGGGACAGCAGCAGCAATCGTTAGCAGCAATCACAACTTCTAACAGTTTGCATTGCAGACCAACGTAATTACTTTCCACTACCTGGCCTTGTTAAGCATTACACAATATCTGCAAAATCCTTTCTGTACTTGGATGCATCTCTTAGGATGATAAGAATTGCCATACCAGTGCAGACCAGGGCTCCTCATGTCCAATATTCTGTCTCCAACAGTAGCCCGTATCAGCTGCTTCACAGGAAGGCATGCAGAAGAAAGCCCAAAGCCACACAAGCTTCCAGTAGGGCAGTTTCTTCCTAACTCTCATCACTACAGTTTGGGTTATGCAATGGAGCAAAAGAGTTTATATTATTTATGGCATTTGCACTGGCCCCCACTGTCCTGCAGCAGATTGCTTCGTGCTCCATGTAAGTGCTCAGCAGTGCTCTGTAATCTGCTCTCATGCTGTACCTCAGTTGTACAGACTGCTTCTCTGAAGTGGTTTAGAGATGTACTCTGCTACTTCTGGCCTTCCTCCCAACTGTCTGCGGGCTAAAAAACACTTCTGAACTGCTTCTGGTTCCTAGCTCAGGAGGAACCAAAAAGGACATCCAACACTTTGGGATGTGTGCCTGATGAAGGCTGCTGCGGGAAGAAAATCCTGACCTAGCAATTAAAAATGCTAATGACAGAAAACCTAACTAAGAAGAAGCAGTAGTTAATTAGTTTGCAGGCACTGTACCTACCTCGGTGTCTCTCAGACCTTTTCCCAGCAGTCACTGTGACATCTATCGCTGCTATTTAAAACATTTGCAATTGAATGGGAAGGCTCCTCAAAGAGGAACCTCCACCCGGACCCAAAGCCAACCAGCTCAGTAATGATACCTAATGTGCAGGTTACACTGAGCCAGGGAAAGCAGCTCTCGAACTCAATGATTCCCAATTTCTGGGCCTTCAGCCCACTGTGCCTTGAAGGCAAGCCTTAAGGGGTAGAAGTGGTCGCCTAAATTCAATCATAAAGAGTTGAGGAGAGCTGTTTCACGTGAATTTCAGGGCAGTTTAATAACAAAAACTAGTGGTCTGTGTGATAAAGCAACTTGTACAAGCTGTAATCAAATGACCATGGGACATGACAACAGAAAAGGTTTGGAGTAGAAAATGCAGTAAAGATACTGAGAGTCAGCAGCCCCCAAAACACTCTAAGTTGTTTTCCCATCCTCCTTCTCCAGAGAAAGCAGTGACATTCCTATCTTCCTTGGCTCTGTAGAAACCAAGGAACAATCACAGGAGACCAGGACTGTAATCTTCCCCTACTGCAGGGAAGACAGCTTTATTCTGCTTGAAAGAGAAAAGAACCGACGAGGCCTGGTCAAAAACACCACCGTCTCTGAGCTGTGAGTACCCTGTGCTGACTGTTGAGCTGCCTCACATGCCTTCCCCTCCCTGACACAGCAGGAGCACAGGCTGCACACAGCTTCCAAGCAAGTGATGTCACCAAACGACCTGAACACTTTGTTATGCTCACAACTTATCAGCTCCCTTCACATAATTAAGCCCGTTCAACAAGAGCTAACCATTCCCAGTGCGCTACTAGAAGGCTGCTGGTGCCACTGACCTGTGCCGATTTTTGTTCTTCCGTTTTTTGTGGCTGCTGTGGTGGCTCCCAGAAGTGGAGGAAGCGGCTTTTTGGGGTTTCACCCCCTGCACAGATCCATCCAGCTCCTCAGCATCCTCCTGGCTGGGTTCGTTCTCCTGATTGTGGAAGTCTGGAGAGGTGTCGCTTTCCGTCCCGCTGCCCGGTTCACCTGCAATGGGATGAGAAGCAGAGCAGCCCAGTGGTTACGTCCCCACACTTCACATCTCAGGCTGCTCCTGCAAAGAGTCGGGGAGAAGAACTACAGACACTACAGAAACTGAAGTTTCTGGTGCCAAGAACTGGAAACGCAGCACCTGATCAGCACACGGTGAACCCAGAGTTATAGAATCATAGAATCACCAAGGCTGGAAAAGAACCACAGCACCACCCAGCCCAACCATCTACCATCTACAGTTCTCACTAAACCACGTCCCTCAACACAACGTCCAAACGTTCCTTGAACACCTCCAGGGTCGGTGACTCCACCACCTCCCTGGGCAGCCCATTGCAGTGCCTGATCACTCTTTCAGAAGTTATGGCGACAGCAGAAGGAAAGGTCTGCAGCCTCCAGAATTGGAGCTCTCATCTTCTCCCACAGCCACGTGCAACTGATGGAGAGACACAGGCACTGAAATGCATCGCTTCAGTCCTTGTTTCTCCATTCAGAGCAGACAGCAGAGCCCAGTGAAGCGAAGATGGGGCCGAGCTGTGAGGAGAAGTTTAATTCTTCCCAATTCTGCCAACGGAGGGAGAAAGGAAAAGGTGACTTACGCTTCTCAATGAGCTGATCCTGAACTCCAGCTAACGCACTGACCGCCTGGAAAGAAATGGGCAGTTAATGACAGCAGGGATGTTGCTTAACAGATGTCTGTGGGAACTCAGCCCCGTGGGGGTGTCACGGAATCACAGAACGGTCGAAAAGGAGCAATGTGAGCAGGGGGTTGGAAGTCGATGAGATGTGCAGGGTCACAGGGGGGGGAAGGGGGGAGCATCCCTGCAGCACTCACCGCTGCAGAAGTGACCGAGGATTTGCTGAAGAGCCGCTCAGCCTCCTTAAACTTGCGGTTCCTGCGGTCGTTTTTGCTGTTGGAGTTCCTGCAAAGGAGAGAGGAGGATGGAGGAGGACCGGGGATTGGGGGGGTGGATGGGGGGGGGGGGGGGGTTGGAAGGCGGTTGGGGAAGGGAAGGGGAGGTTGGTCCGTACTTCTGGTTGGTGAGGTAACGGTCCCATCCGCGGATGATGTTGCCGTACATCTGCGTGTCCTCCAGGTAGCTGCCTTCGAACGCGTAGATCTGCCGCTCCAGGTTGGCCAGCGTCTCCTGCCGGGCAAAGCGCTGAGCGGGCCGGGCCCCGCCGCACGGCGACGGCCGCGACCGCCGTTCATCGCCGTTCACCGCCCGTCCGCCCCGCCGCCTCCCCGCCCCGCTCCGCGCCCAGCTCACCGCCAGCTCCTGTTTGCGCTTCACCAGCTCGGCCAGCTCCCGCCGGGTATCGGGGATCTGCGGAGGTCCGCCGGCCTTGGCGTGCAGCGCGGCCATGGCGGCTGCGGCCCTGCGCTGAGCGGGCGGGGCTGCGGGGAGGAGCCGGCGGGGGGCAGCGCTGAGCTCCGCGCCGCCCCGATGGGGAAACGGGAACTGCGAGCAGAGCTGAGGGCCGGCGGGGTTCACAGGATGGCCGGGGTTGGAAGGGAGCTCAGGAGTCACGAAGCTCCAAACCCCGCCACACGCAGGGCCACCAACCTCCACATTTCACAGCAGCCCAGGGCCCCATCCAACCCGGCCTTGAACACCTCCAGGGATGGACGGGGCATCACAGCCTCTCTGGGCAGCTGTTCCAGCACCTCACCACTCTCATAGCAAAGAACTTCCCGCTCACATCCAACCTCAATCTGCCCTCCCTCAATTCAAACCATTTCCCCTTGTCCTGCTGTTATCTCCCCTTTCCAAGAGTTGATTCCCCTCCTGTTTCTAGGCTCCCTTTAGGTACTGAAGGCTGCAATGAGGTCACCCTGCAGCCTTCTGTTCTCCAGGCTGAACAAGCCCAGCTCCCTCAGCCTGTCTTCTGCAGCCCCCTGATCATCTTTGTGGCTCCTCTGGACCCTCTCCAACAGCTCCCTGTCTGTCTTACACTGGGGGCTCCAGATCTGGACGCAGTGCTGCAGATGGGGCCTCACAAGGGCAGAGTAGAGAGGGACAATCACCTCCCTGTCCCTGCTGGCCACCCCTCTTCTGATGGAGCCCAGGATCCCATTTCTGAGCTGCAGTAGCACACTGCTGGCTCATGTTCAGCTTTTCATCCATCAGGACCCCCAGGTCCTTCTCTGCAGGGCTGCTCTCAAGGACCGCTTCTTCCAGTCCCTATGGATGCCTGGGATTCCTTGCACTTTGCTGTGTGGAACATCATCAGGTTCACCCAGGTCCACCTTTCCAGCCTGTTGAGGTCCCTCTGAATGGCACCCCTTCCTTCCACCGTGTCAACAGCACCGCTCAGCTTGGTGTCATCAGCAAACTTGCTGAGGTGCACTGGATTTGGGGCTGTGCTTGAAGCAGCGCTCAGATGGAGGCTGCAGCACAAACCAGCAGGCACAGCAAACAAGGCCAACTCCAAGCCCAAGGCTGAACCCCTCTGCCCGCTCAGCAGCCCAAAGGCAGGGCTCTCAGGGCTCCCCGCTGCTCCACAGAACCCATCCAGCTTCAGAACCTGAATAATGAAAAAACTCGCACTGAAACGAAGGCAATCAATGATGAGACCTGAGATCAGATGCTGCGCCGCTCCCAGGCAGAGGCTTATGTTGGTTCTGTCACCACTCGGCGCAGCGCAGTCCCACCGTCAGCAGTCTGTGCTCCCCTGCCAGGCAAACCATCAGCAGTGGTACAGCAAAACAAGAGCTGTGCTGCTGCACCACACGGTAACCCCAGCCTTCCCCCATAGCTGAGGATTGCCGGGGTCACTTTGGTGTTTCCTTCACAGGGACACACGCAGCCCAAGCTGGACGAGATGCACTCACAGCCCTGCAGAGCAGCGAGGCAGCTGCAGCCCTATCACCACCCCAGGGATCACTGAATCCATCCAGTCCTGCTGCTAAAGGATCAATAGTCCAGTAACAAACATCTGCATGAGTTACAACAATCTGCGAGTTCTACAGCTGTTAAACCTCTTAACAGCTGCAACACGTTCCCTCAGGGTCAGCATCTCTCCCACCTTTCCCTTTCAAATGAGTGCATCTATTGCAGAGGACGCAAAGGGGGAAAACGGGACATTAGAAAAACATCACAGCTAAAGGTAAATAGGGCTAAATTTACAAATTCTTTATTTAAAAACCTCTAGAGTGTGTATATATAAAGGAGAGCCTTCTAGTCAAGATCCATCCTGCTTACTACTTGAAAACCTACATCAGCAGCCCATATTTACACCATAAATCCAGTGTGCATACAGCACAGCACGTTTGTATACACAGTGTATGTACACAGCATGTCAGAACAGTGTGTGTGGCCACAGAACAAACACCCAGGCTGAGCAGTCAACAGTGTAGAAAGTCTTATGTTTCCTTTATCAACCATAGGAAGAAGACATCCACAAATAGGCAAGATGCATTTTCTTTCATTGAGTGGAACTGGCTTTGTTTACCTCTTCCTAAAGCGTTGTTTTCTTTTCCAGTAGGGCAGATTGTTACAAACCAATGATAGTTCCTTTTTTTTTTTTTTTTTTTAATATATATAAAGAAAATTTAAATAGTGCAAACCAGTAAAAACATGCCACCACATAACAAGTACAATTACAAACAAAAACATTAAGTTACTCATGGAGCTGACAGAAACAAAGGCCCAAGCTTTAGGAGGAGAAACTCAACATCCATCACAGTTGCAGCATTCTTTGCTGCATTGCATACTGGATGTGCACTGATGTAGACCTCAGCCCTCCCAAACCATATTACTGCAGCCTAAAGCCCCAGGAAGCAGTTCCTTTTATTTGGACTTACCTTGGAACAGCACATCCTGGTGAAATGCCCATTGCTCCGAGTGCTCACAGTGCAAACCAACAACCCAGGACACACAAACACCTGGGGGGGCTTTGCAATATTTCTCTTTAGGTAAATTCTCCTGTCCAGAACTCCTAAATGGCCAAGGAAATTTGGCAAACTCTACCAAACAAGACATGTTACAAAAAAATGCATCGGGTTACACTTTAACTAAGATCTCAGTTCAGTAGCATTCTGAAGGGATTATGACAAAACAGTTAATAAAAATATTTTTAAATACGCTTGCTGCGTTCTACATCATTTTTTCCAGAAGAAGAAAGTCTTTGAACATTTGCTGAACGTTTCCAGCATCAGAACATTCACATCCAGGTGCCTTTTTGCTTGTTAGGATGGGAAGAATGACCTGGATTTCCTGACACGCAGACCTACCAGAGACAAATATTCAGTGGAGTCCCCCGAAATAAACCATGAGAGCCATTCAGCAACAGAAGAAGGACTTTAAGGCAGTGAGAAGCATCAGCGCTTTGATGCTCCAAAGTTTACATCCCAATGCATGTTTTATTGAAAAAAAGATTTCCCTCCCCTGCTCCCCCGTCCCCAATTTCCTTCTCTTCTGTTAACTGTCAGACTCTTCCTCCTTCTCCTCCTCTTCGTCATCGTCCTTTGCGTTGGCCTCAGATTTATCTGAAGATTCGTGGAGGAGAACATACTCCCTGCTGCTGAATCCAAATTTCAGTACGTCCTTCTCCTTCAGTTCGTAGTAACGCTGCGGCTCAATCCTCTGGTTGTTTAGAAAAGTACCATTGCCAGAGCCAAGGTCGATGATATACGGCTTCACTCTGCGGCCAACTGTGCCGTCGGCACGAGTGTGCTCCACAAGCCTGGCAAAACAAGAAAACCCACATCATTCTGATCACAACACAGGGATTTTCCAACCCACCAGCCTCACTGCAGTGCATACTTAACCGTACTTCAAAGATCTGAGCAAGAACAATGAGAGTCATGAGAGATGGGACACGGAAAAGCTCCGATTCTGACAGAACTGCTTCACCCCTAAAACTTCTTATGATGCAACACAGTAATTCCTGAAACAGAACAGATGGCTGCTCCTTAAGAGAGCAACTCTGTCTCCAGAAGCACGCAACCCCTGCTGTTTCCAAAGGAGATCAGCAGTCTTTGTTGTGAAAGACCAAATGAAAAGCTCTCCTTGAAAGGTTTTTTACTGCCAATTCCACCTGCTAATTACTCCAGATACAGATACAGTTCTGTATTTAATCCTGCTGTGGCTTACTAAAGACTATTTCTCTCACTAAAAGGCTGCTTATGGTTAAACGAAAAGGAATTATAGATATTTCTGATTATTGCTATGCTAATATGCTCCAGTCATACCTCAATTCCATTTATCTAAAAACCTCTGAGCAAAATGCACTTTCTAAACTGTGCACATCCACTTTGTTTGATTTTTTTTTGCACACGAGTGACCAAATAACCCCAATCTACCAGATGGATACAGAGCAATACTGACCGGTACTGGAACACAGCGTGCTGCTTGGAGCAGGAGGGATGGTCGATGGGGATATCTGCTATCCTGCGGTGCCTGCCCAGCAGATAAGCACTCTGCCTGTGAATGTACATGACTGGCAGGAACTCATCATTTTTGAAAGGATAAAGGCGCCATCGTTTCTTTGGAATCCGAGCTTCTGGGGGCTCGCTGTACTTGATCACGACGCCTCGGAAAGTGTTGGTATCCTCCAGAAGGGCACCAGACAGTTCAAAGCTCGGTTTTTCTTTGTTTACAGCTTTATCTTTTGGTTTATTATCAGATTGCCTGTGTTCTGGATTCTGGTCGAGACCGCTGCTCTCGTTATTCTGTCGATGCTCTCGTCTTTTCTCATTATAGAACTCCCTCTCCGCTTGCTGCTCACGGATGTTCTGAACATCTCTCTCTCGCTCGTGGCCTCGACCCCCAGGCCTTTCACTTGGATTTTTCCTCCTGTCTGAGTGATCTCTGTGCCTGTCTCTCTCACCGCTTCTGTCTCTCCTGTGTTCCTGCTCTGATGCGTGTCTCTGCTTTCGCTCCTCGTTTCCTCTACGAGGATGGTCATCTCGTTCCTGAGGAAAAGAAAATAAAAGACTTCTAGCAACGGAACTAGAATAAGAATGAAAGAACAGCAGGTTCAGTTTCAAAAGAGATCACAGATCAATATATGAAAAACAGAGACTGGAATATGTGACATGTATATCTAGATAAAGTTATTTCCTTGCAAACTGAACTTGGGCTGAATAACGCAAGACTGAGGGAGAGCAATGCATCATCAACATCAGGAAAAAGGAAGCTTTCAGGGTCAGCCTGCAGAAGTGACAGAGGCTCACTAAAAGGTACAAATAATCGGTTCCTCATAGCACAACATGAAGCAGGGAGCAACGAGATATTACACTCCTAAAGAGATGCTCTACAAGGATCAGAGGGCTTCCAGATCAGAAGCCGGTTCCGTACCTCCGCACGCATCTCACGGCCGCAGCAGGACGCACCCCGGGCCCCGCCGCCACTCTTGTGTGCAGAGCCGAGCGGCGGGCAGCTCACAGAGCCGGGCCTCGCTGCTCCCAACGCCATTTACCTGCTTTACCCTCACAGCCCCGTGATGCGGACTCCGGCTCCGCCTGCCGCGCGGAGATTTGCTCCTCCGGCCGGACTTGCTCTTCCTTTTGGGCGATCTTTAAGACAAGGACACGAAAAGTAAGCGGGGCCCGCGGGCTGCGGGCCGCGGCGCGGGGCCGCCAGGAGGCCTCCTACCTGCTGCTCCTGCCGCGGCTGCCCCGCCGCTCCTCGGCCGGCGGCGATTGGCTGCCACGCGCCGAACGGGAACCGGACCGCCGCGGGCTCCGCTTCTCGGCCTTCACTGCCACCTCCCGCCGCCGCCGCTCCCGTCGCCGTTCGGCTGCGGCCTCCATGGTGCCGCGAGCCGCCACAAACGGAAGTACGCGCCGCTTCCGGCCCGCGCGCAGTCACCCGGAAGTACTTCTCCCAGAGCCGCTGTATAACGCGCCTGCGTAGGCACGCTGCCTTCCGCTCCGCGCATGCGCCTTATGGAAAAAAAACGAGCGGCGCGGTTGCCATAGCGACGGCCGCCGCCATGATCCCGCCGCCGGACTCGCTGCTGCGCTACAACCCGCCGATGCTCGTCAGCCGCCGCACCGAGAAGCGCTCCCCGGAGGTGAGTGGGGCGGGGAGGAGCGGCCTGTGCCGAGCCCGGCCCGCACCCACCGCTCTCTCCCCTCAGGCCCTCCCGCTGAAGGCCATCCCGCAGCCCTCCCCGCCGCCGGGTCCCGTCCCGCCGCCCCGACCTCGCACGGCCGCCGCCGCCGCGTCAGCGAAGGAACCGCAGGAGATTCTGAACGCCATCCTACCGCCCCGGTGAGCCGGTTGGGGATCCGCCGAGCCGTTCCTCGGGGCCGCCCCGCTGAGCTGCTGCTTTTCTGTGCAGGACGTGGGAGGAGGACAACCGGCTGTGGGTGCAGGAGGTTTCCAGCGCTCCCAGCACCCGGCTGGACGTCGTGCAGCTGCAGGAGCAGCTGGACCTGAAGCTGCAACAAAGGCAGGCGAGAGAAACAGGCATCTGCCCCGTGCGAAGGGAGCTGTACTCACAGTGCTTCGGTCAGTGCTCCTGGTATCCACACAGCTGCCTTAAAAGCACAGCCTGGAACAGGCATTGTACACATATATAAAAGATACAGGGGCTTAGCATTGCGTTAGTTATACACAGCAGTTAAGTTAAAACCCTTTGCCACTCCTAGTGTTGCCAGCAAGAGATGGCTGTTTGGTTAAACCGAGTTCTGCTGGAGTGCTGAAAGCTGCATAAAACCATTACAAGTGTGAAGGGTTTTGCTGTTATGTGTTCTTACCTTTCTTGTACCACCCCTCTACTTCATGCCTGTGGTTTTGTTAGGTAGCACTTGATGCTACAGCTGTAATACAGCAAACAAAATTATGACCGTCTCCAGTTACATCGATGCTGCTTTTGTGGTGCAGAGAACAGGGCAAAGACAACTAGCCCTGCACATTGTGCACACCCAGCATTCCCAACTCAATGTAACTCTGTCGCTGTACCTTGTCTTTAAAGATGAGCTGATCCGTGAAACCACAATTAACTGTGCAGAGCGAGGACTGCTGCTGCTTCGAGTCAGGGATGAGATCCAAATGACAATTGCTGCTTACCAGACGTTGTACGAGAGCAGCATTGCCTTTGGCATGCGGAAGGCACTGCAAGCAGAGCAAGGCAAATCTGACATGGAAAAAAGAGTAAGCTGGTTTGTTACCCTTATGCTGTATGGCATGAAGAAAGCTAAGCTATGGGCTTCTGTATCAAAATCAGTTATTTCTGCTTCCACTGGATGGCAGTAAAGTGTATCCAATACTTGCCTTAAAGGCTGCGTTTCATAAATGATCTGCTACTATTCCTGTAGCATTTTAAAGACCGTACAACATAGCATTGTCTCAGCATAGTAGAAAATTGATTAATGGCAAACAAAACATGAGAGATCTGTATTATTTTCCGAGATTGAAGAGCTAGAAGAGGAGAAGAGGGAGCTGGAAAGACTGGTGAGCGAAGAGAAAGCAAAATGTGAAGCTATTGAGAAACGTGAGACTGAAAGGCGACAGATAGAGGAAAAGAAACACACTGAAGAGGTCCAGTTCCTGAAGAGAACCAATCAACAGCTGAAGGTTAGTAAAGAAACGCAGTTCTAATTAGTGATGGTAAAGCCAAGCATTTTGCAATCAAAGATTTAAAAGGAACTAATTTTATCCTTTCAGTTCAATAGGAGTTCCATTTATGATGCATTTGTATTAATGCTTTAAGTTCTCAGTGAAATGGGGAAAAGAGCACAAGTTTTATGCTTTCTTACTACAATTATTTAGCAGCAGACTTGTAGTACAGTGAGAATGCCCTCACACATTCCTGCAACTTCCCATTTCAATGTAAGATAATAGAACTATGGACAACACAAAACCTAGGAAGGGTGAGCACACGTCACTGACATCTCTAGCCTCCAGAAATCTGTTACATCACATTTGAGGTGTAATTACTGTGATGGAGGTAGAAGCATTCTTCCTATTCACTTGTTGCTCGTGGAAAACACGTTATGTCCCATGGTGATCTCGACTGGATTACTGAAATTGTTTTGTATCTGAAAGGAGTAATTCTGTATATGCTACTTTAATGAAAGCAGAGCTTCTGTCAATTACTTTGCTTTCAGAAGGGAAAAAAAAAAGTGTAATCATAACCATAAATGTTTCTGGCTGGAGCTGAAATACTTCCTTTACACCAAGCTGCCCTCCTGATCTTCAGTATTGTTACAGTTTTTCCTTTCTAAACCATTAACAGCCTCAGGCCATCTTGAAGTGTTTTAGGGCACAAAATACAGTAACTGTTGGAGCAAATATGTGCAGGGCTGAAGCCGTGTTTCCTCCTTGAAGTATTTTAACAGCTGTGCGTGTATCACTGTGGTAGTTTATTTTTATGGCAGCTTTAGGAAGAGAGCAATCTGAAAGCCCTGGAAGCCTCACACACTACATGCTTCTTAAGCTCTCTGATCAATCTCTTCACTGGGCGTCAAGTTGTCTCAGGAACTGAAAAACTTGCTGTTCCCAGCTACTTCTGTCCTCCAGTCAGTTTGTGTTCCAAACCCCAGAGAGCCAAATATTTAATTTAGCTAACATAGTCCAGCCTGAAATCGGAGAATTCAGACCACTGTTTCAACAGCTTTTATTTAATTTCCTCCTCAGTGCTTTACATTATAAAATGAGTCTTTCATTGTATGGAGCCAAGGCCAGCTCTTTTCTTCTCAGAAAGCAACAAGTGTGTATGCCAAGAATGAAAAGCTAATTTATAAAACATGTAGTGAGGAATGGAGTAGCTAGGGAAAAACCCCTGCTCTGTTCCTCTTCAGTACCACAGTATCACTCAGCTCTTCTCTTTGAATATCTAACAGACAATTTATCACTGCTCAGCCACACAGTTTTTATTTTCTAGATTAAATCTAATTTGACTGATTCTCCCATTTGCTTTTCAGGCTCAACTTGAAAGCATCATTGCACCAAATAAGTAAATTTTTTGTTGGCCTCCAGGCCAGAAGAACTGTCAAAGTTTGCAATTAATGACAAAGATTTGTCTTCATAAAACAATACTGAACTTTCACTTACCGGTAACTGAAAGCAGTTTAATTGCATTATTTCTCCCTTTTTCTCGTTAAGAATTGAAATTTAAAACCTCAGTAACAACTGTGCCTTCTTCCTGTGCCATCACAGCATTCAGCTCCTTGATATGAACATGGCTGGGTCTTGCTAGTTGGCAATATGCTGGATGATCTTCAAAGCAATAAACTAATAAATGCTTTTCCAGGCAAGCATCTCTAAAGTTTTTACTCTGGAAGTGTACAAAATTAATTCAGAGGCAGTTTATGAAGTGTCTACACTCACGTGTGTCACATTCACTGTTAGGTTTTAGGTAGCTCTTGGACACAAGGCAGTTAGAGCACTTCCTGAGCACGTGCAAGTCAGTGTTATTTATGTACCAAAATCCTTCTCAGCAACCAGCAGCAGTCACCTAAGATGAGCAATACCAAAGCTCTCCCTGTGCTTATTTCTAATGAAACAAAGATGTATCCAAGCAGCACTTCTCAGTGAATGCAAATGACAGTTTCAGCTGAGATATCTACATAACCAGCTAGTTACAATCAGCAAACAGGAATAGGAAAGAGAAGCTCGCTGTGCTCACTGAAACAGCTCCATAAAGCTCATTTCCAGCAGACCAAATCTGAAGAACATTTCAGGAAGTGTTTTTTTGCAAATGCAGTGTTTACTGGCCTTAGATGGTGATGTGGAAATACCACGATCCAGTTGCATAAAGAACTTTCAGATGATGCAGAAAAAGAACGAGATGTGACTCCTGGGAACAAGACAGGCAAGTCAAACTCAGCTTTGACTGGGAACTACAAGTTTTATATTGAAGAAAAAAAAGCCACCGCATACTGGAGCTGTTTTATGTAAAATTTAATAGGATCAACAGTTATTGCTTATGTTTATATTTTTTGTGCTTTGATCTCTGTGCCTCCGAGCCACTTTTTTTCTTGTTCTTATTCTTATTTTTCACGTTGTGAGTTTCATAATACCGGACTCCAACTTTCTTGGAGCGCTGCTGCCTCTCAGCTCGTCTCCTCTGTAATGCACACAAAATGTGTTAGCACGTCCACAGCACCCACTGCCTGCATTTGTCTGCATTCTTTCAGTGTTCACTTTCCATTCCACAAACCTTACGTGAAACAAATCATTTCCTATAAACCATTACTGATGTGAACAAACAAACATCTATAAAGAATCCACCCACTCAAGCTCTTAAAACGTCACGTGAGAGGATGCAGTTTAATCCCTACAAAAGTGGAGGAGAATTACAAGAGAACTGATGTGCAGGAACTGTGACCAAACACGCATGAATAGAATTCAGTCTTCCACTGTCAGTCTTCCTCTGACAGTCCTAACAGTCCATATATATTAATACCCCCCCCTTCTCCCCCCCAAAAAACCCCACCAAAATAAACAAATCCTTGTGCAGGATTTGTTTACACATCACTTTAACATGCTGCAAATACCAAGTGAAACAGCCTGTCTAGACTCAACAAACACAAATAAGAAATAGGAGCAGCAGCTCTTGCTGTAGACAGGATGGAACAGCCACTGACTTTTGCCCATCTAGACCCAAGTTTTCTCATCTGTCAGATTTAGATCCCTGCTCTCTTACCAGCATCGCAAGGTAAGCAGAACAGCTCTCTACAAAAGATTTCCCTTTCATTTCCCTTTCAACACTGTCATTGTTACCTGCTGGCTCCTCTAATGGCTGTATGGCCAGCTGGAACGTACTGCTGTCACAACAGACAGCTGATGTCAGGTCTCAAACCTCTCCAATAACAATGGGCAATCCATGCAGGAAGAAGCCAGCCCAATTACTC